GGTTAGGGCACCTCTCTCAGCTTCCTCTGCACCCATGTCTGACAAACCCCATATGGCTGAGATTGAGAAAGTCGGTAAGTCGAAATTGAAGAAGACAGAAACGCGAGAGAAAAATCCTTCAAAAGAAATGATTGAGCAGGAGAAGCAAGCAGGCAAATCGTAATGAGGCACGCGCCGCCAATATGCACTGTACATCCCACAAGCATTGCCTTCTTATTTTACTTCTTTTAGCTGTTTAACTTTGTAAGATGCAAAGAGGTTGGATCAGTTTAAGTGACTGTGCTGCCCCTTTTCACATCAGAACTACTGACAACGAAGGCCGCACCTGCCGCTCCCATCTGCCTGGCTGGCGGGGAAGGGGACAGCTTGCATGTTGGTGAAGGAAGGAGCTGGGTGGGACGAGGGTGAAATCTAGAGTTAAAACCAAGCTGGTCCAAGGGGTCCTGCGGGCTGTAAAATGCAGTTTAATCAGAGTGCCATTTTTTTTTTTTGTTCAAATGATTTTAATTATTGGAATGCACAATTTTTTTAATATGCAAATAAAAAGTTTTAAAACCTGAAAAAAATAAAATAAAATAAAAAAATAAAGGATATTGGCCTGTAATTTTCTTCCTCTGTAGTGTGTTTATCTGGTTTTGGAGTTAGGAAATGCTGGCCTCATAAAAAATAGCTTGGAAGTCTCTTTTCCTCTTAAATGTTTGGAATAGTGTGAGGAGGATATGCATTAGTTTTTCATTGAATGTTTGGTAAAATTTGCCTGTGAAGCTGTCTGGTCCATGACTTTTGTTTGCTGGAGGGTTTTTTTTTTATTACTGCTTTAATTTCTATATTTGTTATCAGTCTATTCAGGTTTTCTGATTCAGTTTTGGAATATTGTATGTTTCTAGGAATTTGTCCATTTCATCCAAATTTGGGTTGTCTAAATTGTTGGCATATAGTTAATCATAGTATTTTCTTACAATCCTTTGTATTTCTGTGGTGTCAGTTGTTATGTCTCCTCTTTCATTTCTGATTTTATTTATTTGGGTCCTCTCTCTGTTTCTTGATGAGACTGGCTAAAGGTTCATCAGTCTTGTTTATCTTTTCATTGATCTTTTTGTATTATTTATTGCCTCTCTGATCTTTATTATGTCCTTCTTTCTACTTACTCTGGGCTTTTCATGTTGTTTTCTTTCTAATTCTTTAGTTGTAAGGTTATATTGTTTATTTGAACTTTTTCTTGCTTCTAGAGGTAGGCCTGTAATGCTATGAACTTCCCTCTCATGACTGCTTTTGCTGAGTCCTCCTGTTCTTTCATTTGAGGCTTGTTTCTTTGTCTTCTTATATTGGCTGTCTTTGTGTTTGTCTCTGTGGTACCCACAATGCCTAGTGCATGCACTTGGCCCAAACTAGGTACTAAGTAAATATTTATGGAATAGGGCTTACTTATTTAGCAAATAATTGCATTGTTCACACTATGTGATTGGCACTAGTCTAAGCACTTTATAAATGTGAGTGTTTAATTATAGACCAACCCAATGAGGTCCTGTCTTAAAGATGAAAAGATAGGAACACCAGGGTAAGTAATGCATCCAGGATAACACAGCAGTGAGTGCAGAGCTGAAATTTGAATTTGAGTGTGCATTTGACGTGCACTACTCGGTGCACTTGATAACAACTGCTATGCTGTTGACCCCTCAGTTATTTTTCAGGTAAAATTAATTTTATTTACTTTTATTCTTTAATAACTTTTTTATTTTTCAATTACAGTTGACATACAATATTATATTAGTTTCAGGTACACAACATAATGATTAGACATTTATATAATTTGCTAAGTGACCACTCTGATAAATCTAGTAGTACACATCTGACACCATACATAGTTATTATAATATTAACTATATTCCTTATGCTGTATTTGACATCACCATGACTATTCCGTAACTACCAATTAATATATCTTAATACCTTCACCTTTTTTACCCAACCCCAAGCCCCTCTCATCTGGAACTCATTAAAATGGTCCCTGTATCTATAAGTCTATTTCTATTGTTTATTTTGTTATTCAGATTCCACTTACAAATGAAATCATCTGGCATTTGTCTTCCTCTATTTCACTTATTTCACTTAGCACAATACCCTCTAGGTCCATCCATGTTGTTACAGATGGCAAGATTTCATTCTTTTTCATAGCTGAGTCATATTCCACTGTATATATGCATCACTTCTTCTTTATCCATTTATCTTTTGATGAACACTTAGATTGCTTTATATATTGCCTACTAGAGGCCCGGTGCATGAATTCATGCATGGGTGGGGTCCCTCAGGGTGGCCTGCAGAGATCGGGTTTCAGCTCACACCCCCAGCCTCACAGGCCCGCAGCCCCGCCTGGCACCCTTCCTTGGCCTGGCACCACCCCCTCACCTGCTCCACCATCCCGCATAAGGGGCAATCAATTGTGGCCAGGCCCCCTGCCTAGCTCCCTCAATGCCTGGGAGCCAAGCAGTGGTCCCACCCCCATCTGCTGCCGCTGGCTGGTTGCTGTCTGCAGGGCAATCCGGCCCCACTCACACCCGCCTTGACCTGGAGCCACCCACTCACCTGCTCCACCATTCTGCTGCCGTCCTGCTCTCATCAGGGCCCATCTGGGCGGCAGCACCTCTACTGCTGCCCGCTGCCAGCACCACTTTGCCGACGCCCACCATGTTCCACACTGCCCCCTGGTGGTCAGTGCATATCATAGCAAGCAGTTGAATTCCAAGTCGAACTCCCAATCGAACAACCGCTTGAGAGGACAATTTGCATATTAGGTTTTCATTATATAGGATTGTAAATAATGCTGCAATAAATATATAAGTGCATATGTCTTTTCAATTTAGTGTTTTGGTTTTGGTTTTGTTTGTTTGTTTGTTTGTTTCAGATAAATACCCAGAAGTGAAATTGCTGGGTCCTTCTTTGTCCCTTGTTATAGCCTTTGATTTAAAATCTATTTTCTCTGATATAAGTATTGCTACCACAGGTTTTTGTGGGGTTTTGTGGTTTGTTTGGTTTTTGGGTTTTGTTGTTGGGGGTTTTTTTGGTGTGTTTTTTGTTTGTTTGTTTCCATTTTCATGAAATGTCCTCTTTTTATCATCTTTTTATTTTAAGTCTATGTGTGTCTTTTGATCTGAAGTGAGTCTCTTGCAAACAACATATATATGGGTCTTGTTTTGTTATCCATTCAGCCACCATATGTCTTTTAATGGGAGCATTTAATCCATTTGTATTTAAAGTGATTGTTGATAGATATGTATTCATTGCCATTTTATTATTCATATCTTTTATGGTTTTTTTCTTCTTAAAGATTTAATTCTTTAATATTTCTTGCATATACTAATTTGGTGGAGAAGAACTCCTTCATTTTTTTCTTGTCTGGAAAGCTCTTTATCTGACCTTGGATTCTAAATGATAGCAAAGCTGAGTAGAGTAACATTGGTTGTAGGTCTTTGCCTTTCATTGCTTTGAATATGTCTTGCCAACCCCTTCTGGCCTGCAAAGTTTCTGTTGAGAAATCAGCTGACAGTCTTAGGAGAGCTCCCTTGTGTGTAAATAACTGCTTTTCTCTTGCTGCTTTGAAGATTCTCTCTTTGTCTTTAACATTTTGCATTTTAATTATGATGTGTCTTGGTGTGGGCCTCTTTGGATTCATCTTGTTTGGGACTCTGCACTTCCTATGCTTGTCTGTCTATTTGCTTCACCAGGTTAGAGAAATTTTCCATCATTATTTTCTCAAATAGCTTTTCAATATTTTGCTTTCTTTCTTCTCCTTCCAGTACCCTTGTGATACAAATGTTGGTTCTCTTAAAGTTGTCCCAAAGGCTCCTTAAACTATACTCATTTTTTAATGCTTTTTTTTCCTTTTGATGTTCTGATTCAGTGTTTTCTTCTTCCTTATTTTCCAAATTATTGATTTGATCCTCTGCTTTTCTACCCTACTGTGATCCCCTGTAATATATTCTTTGTTTCAGTTACTATATTCTTCATTTCTGATTGGTTCCTTTTTATATTTTCTATCATCAGTTCTATCTTTCCTACCTCTTTGTTGAAGTTCTCACTAAATTCATCTACTCTTCCCCTAAGTTCACTGAGCATCCTTATAACCAGTGTTTTGAACTCTGCTTCTGGTAGATTGGTTGTTTCCATTTTGTTTAGTCCTATTTCTGGAGTTTTGTTCTGTTCTTTCATTTGGGACATGTGTTTGTGTTGTTTCAGATAGAGCTGCTACATCTCCAGGGCTTTATGTAGTAGCTGTCCTATACGGCCCAATGGCACAGCCTCCCAGTCACCCAATCTAGGCACTCCAGGTATGAGCTATGTGCACCTTCCTATTCTAGTTGAACCTTGATTGCTGTTGGCATATCAATGGGAGGGGTTTACCCCTCAGACAATAAGCTGTGAGGACCGACTGAAACCACAATGGAGAAGTTGCTATGAGGGACCAACCTCATAGAACAGGATTCACTTCACCTGGGCTCTGGTACCCAATAAGCCTGCCTCTTGAGTGTGTCACTGATGGAGGTGGTTGAATGGTGCTTCCTGGTTGAAACTGGCCACCAAGTGCACTGGCTCTGAAACTTCCCTGGAGGCACAGCAAGATCAGCTACTACCTGTGCCCTGCCTGGGCCCCCCAACATGAGCTACAAAGTGATCTGCAGATGACTACTACTTATGCTGGGCTTGGTGGTGCCTAGGAGAGGCAAAGCTGTGAACTGAGGCCGTGGCCACTAGTGCTCGGCCTGGGTCCACTTAGCAAGAGGTACATGGGGCAAGCCAAAGCCAGATGCTACTTGTTTGGGGGTTTTGCACCTTTGAAGGATTTTAGGAAAGTCCACGGCATGAGGCAAAACAGGCTGTCTGTATGGAAAAGCCACTGGAAATGGCTTGGGTGGGCCCCCTGGATGGGGGAGACTCCAGTAGGGAGTCTCACGCAATCACCAGGGTAGGGCAAACCGTGTTAGGCAGGTTGATGAGATATCACACCCACCGGCCAGATCTGTAGGGCGAGGGCTTAGCAAAGGAACATGGCCTCTGCCAGCACTTCTGTCGGGGAGAAAAATGCCTCTCTAACTCTCGCCCCAAAGCCAAATGATTCTGTTCCTCCCTGGGTGTCCCTGGTGTCTTTCAAGCTGCTTTCCAGTGCTGGAGCTCAGAGCCAGTGACTCCAGGTAAGTTTGTGTGCAGGCCCTTTAAGAGGAATGCCTGGGCTTCCGGGAGCCTCTGTCTCACTCAGCCACAATTCCCACTGGTTTTCGCAGCCAGAAGTTATGGGAACTTCTCTTCTTGGAACTGGAACTCTGGGCTGGGGGGTGGTAGGAGGGCTGGTGTGGGGCTTGGACTCCTTGCTGCTTAGGGGAGACCTCTGCAGCTGAGACACCCCTTCAATTTTTAAACACCACACATGAGTGCAGGACCAGCCTGCTCCAAGCCTCTGCCCCTCCTACCAGTCTCCACATGATTTCTTCTGTTTATCCTTAGTTATAGGAGTTCTGTTCAGCTATATTTCAGGCAGTTCTCAATGGTGGTTGTTCCGTAGTT